TTTATTGCAGCTAAGAACATATCAGCCACGTCGTTCACTGGTCGCTCTCGAGCTGCATGTTCGTCTTGAGGAATGCACAGAGCAATATCGGCAACTCGAAAAGGAGCGCAAAAAGACGGAGGCGGAATTGGCGCGACATAATTTGGGCAAGAAAATCTCATCCACCAACAACATGCCCATCCCACGTCTTTGCCAGGCACCGTCAAAGATCGATCGATTGATCGTTGATTTCTGCAGGTAACAAACAGTCATTTTATACCACTTGGGACAACGATAGATATCTAATATCTTGATAATTTATCGTATTTTAAGTTCTGCTTCACGAGTATCCTATAGTAATGAAGTTAAAGAAAGTGTTCTTTTTGTTTCGACTGCACCATCGATTCATCAGTTTTTTTTTGCTAAACTGGTAACTGTTCCAGTTATGATGTAACTAAAATAGTGACCAGAGATCAGGGCTACAAGCAAGCTGACCACCAAGCAACACAGCATTGGTCAGTGCAGCTGAAAATGTACTAGTTCCGTAGCTGAAATGTCAAACTGTGACTTACAACTGATCCAAAATATTTAAAGTATTTTGAAATGTGCCCAAATCACAGGAGCCTCAATACGCTAAACCATGGGTGGGCAACTGGCTTTTTTGTGGAGGTAGCCGGAATGTGATGCCTAACTAGACGAAAGGGGGTTTACACTCCGCCGCGCTACTGCATTCTCATGAAAATAAATAAATAGCGGCACGCACCAGGCCAGTCCTTTTCCCAGGGCATGCAAGAAAAGGCCAAAACACAAGCACATGCCTTGTTAAACTATAAAGCAACAATCATTCATACTGTTAACGATTTTATTGCTCCAAGTTTAGCGTAAAAACGCATGGCTGCACGGACAGAACTGATGCGCTGCTATCTGGGCTTTATTAAAAAGCAGCCCGCGAGCTTAAGTAAGTATGTAAATCAGGCCCGCGTGTCGTCAAAGGTTGCCCCTGCCTGCTAAACTTTTCGAAAAGTTACTATCTTGGGGATGGTACCAGGAGAGCTTAATTGGAAGTATACGGCTCAGAATCGACGGTTCTAGCACAGTTTTGGGAGCATTTCAGTAACATTATTGATATGGGGTTTACACCGTTTACCGGGGCAATCCCGGTGCCCCGTCCAGTCCTAGGGGGGATCGAAAAACCATACTACTGTAGTACCGGTTTCTTGATACGCCCTGTTGTTTTACTAATTTAAATAAAAGTGACATAATGAATGGTACAGAGAAAGCGGACGGGTTCTATAATGCGGTAAAAATCTCATAAAGAATCGTACCGGTTTCATATCAAAGTTGAACAATGCGAGTTTTTGATTTTTTTTTTCCTTCAACAAATTTTACGTGTTTGCAGGGAGCACGCACGCGTTGTAACATTACTTTCGAAGATGGAACAGCTCCGAAATGAGCCGCTACCACGTGCCGTCCATGTGGCTTTACGTGAACTACATGATGCTGTTAAAGTGCTGCAGCAATGCCGCTTCAATGAACAAATTGCGCTAGTGCGACAGCTAAGAGGCGAGGTAATTCGACTGAATGATGATCCAGGTACGTTTCTCGTGCATAAAACCAAGCCTCCTTTCGGAGAAAAAAATTTTGCAAAATCAAGGCTTTCGGCAAGAACTTATGTAGGAAATTTTTGCATAGGTTAAGAGCTGCTCCTCTAGTAATAAATTTGTGTGAAAAAATTTGCATAAATCGGATTTTCTAGTAGGAAGTTTGCGCTGAAAAATTTGCACGAATCCAGGAGTTTTAGTGGGAAGTTTATGTGGGAGAATCTGCGGTAAAGCTTCTCACGTAAAATTTTGCACTGCAAAATTTGCACAGATTGATTTTCCTATCGAAATTTTTTTAGACTGGGCTTCGCTCTTTTAGGCTGACCATTTCGCGCAATAATTTACTTTCCCATACATATTTTCACGTAGTTTTTGTAGTTTTTTCTCATACAGTCTGCGTACTTTGACATTATTGCGTTCTTTCACATTACTAATGCAGCTGGCCACTTCCTCACTTTTTCCTCTTTCGTATTTCTTGACCCCGCATAACTTCGGATAGGCGCTCAAGTTGGACCTTCCACTTTCTAAAATATTCATTTAACACCGGACGTTCGTATTGACGTTCGTTTCGTGTCACCTGAAGTCTGAAGTTTCAGTCAATAAACTAGAACTTATTTGTCAGATATTGCTCAGTTTTTACAATATTTTAGCAGATTTTCATTTTTTTGCAGAATTGGGTGCGATAGCAGCGGCACTAGCGGATATATGCAAGAAGGTAGTGCGTGCACGTGCAGCAAATTGGTGCTCGCTGATGTGGACCATCGGTACCGATGCGGAGATTGAGCAACAGATCCAGCGTATTCTTAGCGCCGATTTTCAGATTGCCCCTCCAGAAATCAAGCACCGTCCAGTGTGAACGAAAAACTGGAGCTGCAATAGGTTTAGGGCGAGTGAACAGAGAGAAAACATCGATGAGCAATATATTCAACAATTTGGCGCATCAGTGATGATAGTTTTAGTAGTGGAATTTGATTTAAAAAAATTTTCCTCCTAGCCGTGTTAATATTTAATTTATCCCAAGTGTTTTTTTCTTTTTTTTCTCTCTGCTTTTTTTTGCGTCAAATCTCTGGGTATAATTTGTGTGTGCCCTCGAATCTCTCTGGATTTTTTTTGGAATAAAATCCATCCCATACATCGAGCGAGAGGAGCTTGCGCTCTTCCTCTCGTTCGATAGTCAATGTCGCTCGCTTGTTCCCTCCATATTATTAGTTCATTTTTTTAATTAAATATTTTTAATTTAGTGTTTTTTCTCTCTCGAGCTTCTTTATTCATTGGTGTTTGCATATACATAGATATTCTCCAAGTGTTAACTTTGTTTCTCATCTCTCTCTCTCTCGCTGGTTTTAGTACTCTCTCACTCCCCTCCCCCTTTTCTGTTTAGCAAAAAGTTCGTAGTTCCTCCCTCTTACTCTCTTTTATCAGTCATAGTTTCCATCCTTATCATCTAATAATGATTAGCAGTTTCCACTCTTATCATTTGAAACTGTTACTCTATCTGGTCCTCTTTTATCGTTCAGAAAAATGTTAAAATGATGTAGGCTTCCATGTTCGTTTTTCCACATAATTCGTTTGTTTTTCTTTTTATTTTTCCAGCTATCTCTCACGCTAGGCAATTTGCATTTTTTTTTCGCTTATTTCTCAGTTTTTTTTTTTTTTTTTCATCGAAATTTTTGTCTTTATGTGCAAATTTTTTTCTTGGCATATTGCTCTTTTTTTTCTTTTTTTTCAGGATGATTCTTCGCAACTGTAGTGATGCACGACTTGAATTCCGATTTTGTGCTTCTGGAATTCCTTTCATCTCAGTAGCAACTAGGGAATTCGCCTCGCCGTTTTCCAACATTAGTTTCTAGACCCCACACATCACTAGCCTACAATGTAATTTTTGCCCTTCAGAGTTTAATAACCCAAATTTGAGAGTGAAACTGTGATTTTTAATGAAGTTAGTTAATGACGATGATGATGATCGTTCACATTTTGAGGTCCTTCACGCTGCACGGCGCTTTTTTATAAATCATTTCACGTCATCCACCTGGCCAACAATTAGCAGATCGCTTCCTTCTACTCGAAATTAGATAACATCACTTGTTTTATTTAGAATTTAGATGAAGTAATCCGTTCGATCGGGAACCAAATTACGTCCTTTTGGTTGAAAATTTCGGCCATCCCATTTGCTTGGTCAAGATCAACATCACATCCTTTTGGCTAGAAATCAAGTTATGTTAAATCCGTTTGGCCGGGGACCAGATCACTTTTTTTTGTTGAGATTTTAGATCACCTAATCCGTTTAAGCGGGGAATCAGGTCGTTGCTGTTTTTTTTAGTTAGGAGTCAGTTCACGTCGTCTCTTTCTGCACTCTAGATACTTGCGCAGCTCGGTCATTCTTCATTTTCACTGTAGTTTTGGCCAAGATTTTCCCAACTAAATGACGTTTCCTGTGTTTGATATGATCGTGGGGGTATTAACAATTTTGTTTTGCCCCTTTCGTAGTGTGAGAAAATCAAGTATTACCTGTAGCGCGTCCTCTAGTAGTCGTATCATCATCATCATTCGTTTCACTGAAAGTTTTGTATTAGGTAGATTTGCACATATTTAGTTGTTCTTGCAGTAGTAGTACACGCCATGCTTAGTTGGCATTCCCTCTGCAACGGCTATTTATCGATCATCTCACGCATATCGTTGCTTATCTAATAGAACATCTTATTATTAAGGGAAGTACCACACGTCATGTTGTTGCGCATATCACACACACGTTGCTTGAAGCGTTTTTTTTTTCATTGCCTAAAATATGTACGCCCGAAAATATTCATTGTTTGTAGCCTTATAACTACTATTCAGTTTTTTGTTCAGTTGTTTGATGTGTTAGTGAAAAAGCAATGTTGCCTCTTTCCCACATCTTCATTGCTGTTGTTTGTATTCAAAATGTTTTAGCTTTCCATGAAAATTTCTATTGTTTTGAAGTGCCGAAATTTGGGAGTACCCAAAATTCTGTTTGATTAATTTTTCCGACGGTACTCCCCTCGTTCCTTCTTTCCGTGGGTGAGTTTCCCACACCTGTTCTGAGTTTTTCGAGCTCAAAATACAGTAAG